GTCGCTCTGCTCGGCTAATGTCCGTCCCATGCACTGAAAGCTCTCTCCTCCACATCACGAGTAGACACGCCCCTTATTGCTGATTGGCTACAAGTTTGTTTTGCTGTTCGGCCCGAATCAGTTTTCTAAAGTGTTTTTGAAAAATGACACACCCTACCTTTAAAGCTGCTAGTCAAATAAGACGAACTATATTTGCAATACTAACAAATAAATATATAAGATAAAATGTCTTTGCATTTAATTTAATTACTTTTATTTTTAATTCTTTTTTGAATATTAAATATTATTTATGTGGATCGGAGGTATTTAATCAGTAAAGACTTTTACTTTTATATGCAACATATCTCTACAAAAAAATTATCACTGCTAAGACAAACTATATTTGCAATACTAAATAATATACAGTTGTCAACATTTGAAGTGGATCAAAACCTTTCATCAAAGTTGTCCTAAAACCAAAATGCGTTCTTGTATTAGGACAACTTTGATGAACTTTTTTGATCCACTTCAAATGTTGACTACTATATTTAAAATATATATATAAGATTGTTTTTGCATTCATTTAATTTATTTTATAAATATGAATTACTTTTTATGTGGATCAGTGTGTATTTAAGCAGTGATAAAGATATAAGATCAAATATGTCTTTGGATTAATTTAATTCAATGATTTTTTTTTCATTATTTTATATATAGCAAATATTATGTACGTGTCTTTAAATGTGTATTTAAGAAATAAAAACATTGCTTGTTTACTTTTATATGCAACATTTCTCTACAAAAACAAAAATCTAAATCATCACTTAAACTAGTCAAATATTTCTTTTATGAATATTAAATATTATATATGTGGATCGATGTGTAAGAAATGAAGGCGCACTGCATGTCTGATGTTTTTGTTTTTATATGCAACATTTCTCTACAAAACAAAAATCAAAGTCCTCATTAAAGCTGCTAGTGTGAAGAAGCCATTAACACTCTCTTTCTTTACTGTGTTTACTGTAGAGAAACCAGCACCCAAGAAACGACGGAAAGTGTTCTGCCAGATCACCCAGCACCTGCTGGAGAACCACGAGATGTGGAAGAAGGTCATCGCTGAAGAGTCCCAAAGCCAGACAGAAGGGGAGGAGTCCACATGCCTCACTAACACCCCTGAGCCAATCCTAGCCATCGATGAGGAGGAGGAGGAGCCAGGGAGCAAGGAGGAGCCTGCAGATGACCAGGAGGAGGAGGAGAGTCCTGCACCTGACGAGACACATGAAACAGAGGAAACAGATGGCGAGACTGTAGAGGAAGTGGACGAGACTGCGAAGACTGTAGAAGACGACGCGGAGCTAATGGGAAAACGAGAGGAAGACGAGAAAGAGGATCCAGAATGAATGACGTTGTCTAAAAGCGTTTCATTGGCAAGCGAGACTTCTAAGAAATGGTTGCCAGCACATCACTTAGACACAACACTGTAGATGCTTGGGGAACATGTGCCTAAAGGAAACAGGGTGGGACGGGGTGGTTCGGGATGAAGGGTTTGACTAACAATGAGCAGGCGGTGAACTTTTGAGGTTCGATGCTAAAATTGGCCGGGACAAGGAGTTCTCCAGGGGGTTTCCTATATTTTCTAGACTTACGTTGGTCAGTTTTGCAAGTCCTTCTCCAGCTGCACCTTAACCTCCAATACTGCGACAGGGGTCCCAATGACCTGAAGTTTTGCAGGCTCAACAAGCATTTCCGAGGAGCTCAGTGTCAAAGTCGGGGAAACGAGAAACCAATCCACGTGACTCTCGCTGGTTGGCGTATCCCATCGTGGGCAGCGGACGAAAGCAAACGCTCCAGAAACTGCATGCGTTTGTGAAAAGATACACTATGTGTTTGCGTGTCTGTCCTGCCATTGCTCTTTCTTTTTTCTTTCCAGAGCATCACTACAGCAAACGCTTGCTCCACTGTCTCATTTCCGAAGGCGTCGAGCCGAATGCTTGTCATTCCCTTCCCTCACCTTTTTCCCTCGGCATTCCACGAGCTGAGATTTTGCGTTTCTCAGGATCAGACTGTTTTCAGATAACTGTACAAGGAGTCATTGGTTTTTACAGACTTTCTTGCAGCTTTCTAATCTTTTGGATCTTGATTTGTTGTTTTTTAAAACTGTAACTTCTTCAAAACGCCAATGGCCTTTTAGCCCAATCGTTGTTTTACCAGGTGGTTTGATAAATATATACACAAATGCATACGGCGTGCAATAGTACATCGCCTCATCCCTAGTCATCAAACATTGTACCGTCCGAAACTATAGACGCTCTTATTCTCCCTCCTTCTGTTCTTGCATTTAAGCTAAGTTTGAGAGCCAAGTGAACTGCTCTAGCAAGTTTGGCTGATCAAAGGCGCAAACTGGGACGATGGGAAGGCCTCAGGCTCCCGCATTCCCCCGCAGTCGCATGTTTTCCCTCCGAACAAGGCTGTGGTTATGTGGTCGTCTCACGCAGCCGCCGTTGTGGTCAGCTCCTCAGCCCAAGGGATGAAACGACGAACGGCGTCCCTCTCACATGAGAGCATGTGCCGCACATGAGATACGCGCACCGGTCGACACGGCTGTCCGCGCTCGCCTTTGATGTACCGAAAGAGGCAGATTGCTCGCGACGGCGAGATGAAACACTTCTGCGGGCTTAATCACCTCGGGTCCGATGTCTAATCGGACACCTTCAGTCGCTTTGAAGGAGAGCCAATTAAAAACGCCTAGGTAGGACGCGACGGTCACGTGCTCATCTTTGAAACGTCCCCTTCGATCGCAATGCAGTGTAAGCCTTAATATTACCAGGCAATGTGGTGCAATGTAGTCCGGCAAATTATTTAAGCAATACCGACCCTATGTGTACAGCAGATTGGTAGCTTTTCCAATCGCACTTTCTTTTGGTTGCTGTGTAGATCTCACACGGCTCACGTGTGCGTGTGCCAAATATGACTTCAAATCCATTCTCCCCAAAGTACGAAACCCCATCAAGAGCGTGTAAAGGCCGTGTGTGCTTGCGATGCAGTATGAGTGCTTTTTATTTGTACATGGCCCCAATTTGAGAGGGTATATTATATTTCTGCTTTAGGCCGTAGATTTGTAACCCCAGGCCGGAGATATTAACCCTTTGGTGCATGAGTTATTAAATCACAAATTAAAATAGTCTTAATGTTTTTATTAACTTTTTTTTAAAGAAAAAATATATTAATTCCCAGTCTGATAATGCATTTTAGAGCGTTACTGTCCACTGCAATAAAAGGTAGCAGTAGTTATGTGGTGCATCACTTTTGTTTTCCATTTTGAATTTAGGTTGCCATAATAAGCATATAAAAAGGATTGTTGCAATGAATTGTTGAAAAGTTATCAACTTAAAAATGGCTTTTAAAGATCTGTAGTGGACATCATACATCAGAGTGTTAAATTATACAGTTGTCTTTACTGTGTATTTCCCAAAACAAAATTAACTTAATCATAACCGACAATAAAATCCTAAGTATGTTGTTAGATCCCCCTGAATAAACCATGCCCCAGGCCAGAGATATTAACCGTTTGGTGCATTACTTACTAAAATCACAAATAAAATAGTTTTAATGTTTTATTTCCCAAAACAAAATTAACTTATCATAACCTAAAATCAAATCCTGAGGAATAAAATCCCCTTAAATACATCACAAAATCACTATAACCCAGGCCAGAGATATGAACCCTTTGGTGCATGAATTACTAAAATCACAAAAAAAAAAAAAGTCTTTTATTACCTTTTTAAAACAAAAAATACTATATTAATTCCCTTTTTTCCCAAAATAACACATTTTGATAGTGTTACTGTCCATTGCAATTAGAGATAGTAGTTGCTACTTGTCTTGGTGCATCACTTTTGCTTGCCATTTTATGTTGCCATAATTAAACATAATATAAAAGGATTATCGCAATGAATTACGGATAAGAGTCAAAGGTTATCACCTTAAAATGGCTTTTAAAGATCTGTTAACTGTAGTGGACATCATGCATCAAACTGTTAAATTATACAGTTGTTTTCAATGTATATTTCCCAAAACAAAATTAACTTATCAAAACCTACAATTAAATCCCTCAGAATAAAATCACCCTAAATACATGATCAAATCAATATACCCCAGGCCAGAGATATTAACTCTTTGGTGTATGAATTACTAAAATGACAAATAAAAAGTATTTTTATTTCCTTTAAAAAAAGAAAAAAGAAAAAATAAAAATAAAAAATAAAAAAAATATATATATATATATTAATTCCCAGACTTTTTTCCAGGAATAATGCATTTTAGAGCGTTACTGTCCACTGCAATAAAAGATAGTAGTTGTCACTTTTTGAATTTATGTTGCCATAATAAAACATATAAAAAAGATTGTCACAATGAATTATAGATAAGGGTCAAAGGTCATCACCTTATAAATGGCTTTTAAAGATCTGTAGTAATTTGATCATGCATCAAAGTGTTAAATTATACAACTGTTTTATTTCCCAAAATAATATCATAACCTACAATCAAATCTTGAGGGAAAAAATGACTCTAAATTAATTATTTCACTAAGAAATATGTGACATTATGGAAGAATCTATTATGCAATATAGCTCCGCCCCTTTTTATCTTACTATTGCTCATATTACTTTCACTCCGTTTGGGAAATTTATGTCATTACTAGTGATTAGCATAAGAGCAGTGGGGACACGTGGCGAGTCGACGTGGATTGGGAATGACCTTACTGCGAGTCTTTGACGATCAAAGGTCATCGGTATTGATGTCTTCATCAAAGACCCAGACAATATTCAGAGAGGCTTAAGAAAAAACTGTGGAATTAGCCAGCGAATCCTACACATTTGATGCGCTCGTGCGTGTGTGTTGGCAGCATGCGTCCCTGTCCTCCACCGTGCCTCTTATCGTTTGGCTGATTCCAGATTCTCCAGTCTTGAGAAACCGGTTTGGACGTGTTCATAATGGCATTTTCACTAAATTCATCTTTTTTACACATAGCAGATGCCCTTAGGAGTGAAATAAATTACATTCTGTAAGGTTCGGCTCAAATACCTGTGCAGGTGTTCCAGAAATGCATGATGACCTGATAGATTGTGTGTGAAGTTTAGTCTGATAAGCTTGGTTCATCCTTCCAGATCTTTTTGATTGACAGCAGACGGTTTGACTAGCATGTCAGGTTCACCGGATGTCGACACGAGACGTAAAGAGGGTTACACGTCACATGAGAAGCTGATCTTTTTATATTTTTCCTTTGTATTTCCTGTTCACCGCACGTTCCTTCATCTTCAGCTGTACGCGTCTGATAACAGTGTCCACTCGTTTCGTTCACCTCGAGAACCAAACAAGCTTTACACCTCTCTGAGAAAGAGAAACGAGACTTGTATTTTTTATATATAGTCGGCACTTCACTGATGAAATAATTACTTTTCTTCTCACTTGTATCTTGCACTTAACACATGTAGCAATACCTATAGAAAGGGGAACTGTGTAAATCACCAGTATTCGTAAAGTGAAATATTCATTTTATTGCTGATTGTTGTTCCATTTTGTACAAAACGATATTGTGTACAGGTTAAAAATGAAACAAAACAAAAACAAAGCCAAAAAAAAGGAAAGAAAAAGATGAAGACGACAACAGAAGTCTTTTAGATAAACATTATTTATTTTTACTGTTTTGTAATTTAGACACTATACTGTAGCTCCTCTATTGCCAGACTTACTGGAAGTGCCTCTTGGTATAATGTAACATACAGAAAAAATATATATTGAGATTATTAGTGTCACAAGCAAAAAATATATATTGAGATTATTAGAACCTGTCACAAGCTGAACATTGTGGATGTTGTAATGTGAATACAGTTTAATAATACGAGTGAAGTACTGTGGTATTGAATGTCTCTGTGTTCTTAATTATTTCTTTCTTGCTTCATTGATTTTCACCCCTCATTCAAGACGAACTAATCTGAAGGTTTTCGACTAAACAAGCTCAAAACAAAGGTGTATTTGTCTTGAAAATGGCTTCTGTCTCAATCGAGGTCAAGCAAGGTAAGATCCCACACACGTTATACCAGATCAAATTGCTCTTATATTAAAGGAATAGTTCACCAAAAATAAAAATAAAAAAAAGTGTATTTTCTGAAAATGTACTCAACCTTCAGACCATCCAAGATGTAGATGAGTTTGTTTCTTCATCAGATTTGGAGAAATGTAGCATTGCATCACTTGCTCAGCAATGGATCCTCTGCAGTGAATGGGTGCCGTCAGAATGAGAGTCCAAACAGCTGATAAAAACATCACAATAATCCACAAGTAATCCACACCACTCCAGTCCATCAGTTAATGTCTTGTGAAGTGAAAAGCTACATGTTTGTAAGAAACAAATCCATCGAGACCATCGTTTTCATGTCAAACCTTTGCTTATGTCCAAAATATGAGTCCATAATCAATAAAAATGCTTCCTCCAGTGAAAAAGTCCACCCCCTGTTGTCTTGCATCAAAATCCATCCACATATTTGTTTAGATCTGCTTTGGACTGTTTTCATTCGTAAACGGTGGTTGATCTGTGCATATTTCTCTTCTGATTCAGTTGAGATGACTTTTTCAATGAAGACAGCAATGTTATCGATAGGGGACTCATATTTTAGCTGGAAGAAATAGTTTGAAGTTAAAAATGTTTTGACGTTAATTGATGTACTGGAGTGGTGTGGATTATTGTGATGTTTGTAATTCGTAACAGTAAAATTATAATGATGATTTATACTTTGAGTAGTCGGGTCGAATATCGCGGGAAATACCACTTTTTTCGCGTCATTCGTCTTTGCGTGGTTACGTCACGTCCGTAAACAAAAGGAAGAAGGTCCGGTTATTATAGCGCGTGAGTGGTGCGTCCAAAGGTTTGTTAGTAATTCGGACAGCTTTTAGGTATCAGTTATAAGCAACATTATTATTAACACAAATGCCTGTTAAAGAGGGCAACTATCGGAAAATTACAGAGCCCTTAATTAATACAACTCGTTTCAACATCACATTGATTTTCAAAAATGACGATAACTTTAAAAGATTTAAAACCGGAGATGGCCTTTTTCTTTCTCAACAGGTAACATACCTAACTTTTGTAACTTTATTTATTTTATAACACTTGTTTTCAATGAGTCAAAACAACTAATTAGGAGTACAGATATTCGTTAGTGATATAAAATGCTCGACTGTAACGATATACGATCGTAAAAGCATATTCATCCGCGCCAAAGAAGTCAACCGAAGCCCAAACTAAATTACCAAAATAATGTTCCTCTGCGAGTAACTTTTACGTCTCGAACGCTAGAGGGCCGATTATGTTCCGTATTGCGAGGAAATCTGACCACTCGTAATATCTTTGCAATGTTTATTCTTTATTTATAACTTTTCTTTGTTTTAAACTTTACAAAAAGTTACCTTAGGCAAATTTTCTGCACTGATTGTGAGTCCAGGATAACAAGATGACCAAGTGCAAAGGTCTGGCTTGTGTGTCATTCCTGTCCTGATCCAGATTTGAGCTGTTCTCATCCTCTGATCCTAACCTGAGTGTCTGGAAGGTTAATTGCAGTGGGAACTGAGCTGACTGTGTGCTGGTCAGGAGCGTCGCTCACATCCTCTGACCGGTGGAAGAAGTCTTAAGCACTTTCACTAATTGGAGCATCTGCTTAATCCACCTCCAG